TTACCTTGGTGGCGCGCAGGGCGCACTGCATCAGGCCGGTCACGCTGCCCACCTCGCGCAGGGTCTTCTTGCTGTTGATGTCTGCCCTCCAGGAGAGGTTCCGCAGGATGCTGGAGACCACCTGGGGGGACGAGATGAGGATGTTCACGCACAGGGAGGGACATGGCCAGATTCCCGTGCTCAGCCTCCCAGAGCTGTCAATACCGGACCGGAGCAGTTCGATCACAGCCCAGCAGAGGGCAGCATCACGACCCTCTTTCGCCCCATCCGCCCTGCCCCCCAAAGTCTCCCAGCCCGCCCTCCTGTTCCAGCACCAGCCCCTGGCCCCCTTCGGATGATTCCAGGGCCCGCAGTGGGACAGCCAGGCGGGATGAGCAGCAAGGACTCAGCCAGCCTGCTCGAGCAGGAGCAGGAACCGGAGAATCCTGCACCCCACGGCACACGCTGGTCCTGGTGAAAGGCTCCACGTCAAGGACCGGGCCAGGCTTTGCCCTGCAATACCAGGCAGCCTCGCCATGCGTCGCTGGGCGCCAAGCCTGGGGTATCCAGAGGTAGTTCGCCTAGCCGTGCGTGCGCGCCCCCAAGGCACGTGGGGACCTGGAATAACTCAGGCCCTGTGCAGCGGGCAGTAGCCAGCTATATGTGCCCAGGTGTATGCCGTGGTTCAGTGCGTGTGGGCAACAGCCCCGGGGGAGCCAGTGTCCACCTACCTGGTGCAGCTCCTCGCTCTCGGAGGCCAGCTGGGCCACAATGGCCTGCATGCAGCCCCGGCGGGAGGACAGAGTCGCCTGCCAAGGGGAAGAGATGGGGGGGTCAGATCCTGCACACACGCACCCCCAGTGCAGCCCGCGGGGACCCCAGAGCCCCTGACAGTGTTGGAAGGGACCACGGCTGGGTCACCCAACGCCCTGAAGCTTAGAGACAGCTGAGATCCCTGCTCCCCGGGCCCCTTCTCTGACCCCTCCCCAGGCCCCTGGGCCCCATCCCCACCAGGATCCCTGTTCTGTCTGCATTCCTCTAACACTTCTGTACCGCCCTCACCCCCAGGTCTCTGCTTCCCAGTCCCTGCCCCTGGGTCCTCACTCCCCTCCCCGCCGCGCTCCCCCCAAGCCTTTTTTATCCCTTCCCCCGACTCGTCCCCAGACCCCCACTCCCCAACCTCAGGGTCCCTGCCCCATCTTCCCCTGACCTCCTCCCCTCCACCCGTCACCTTCCCAAGTCCCCCACCCCTGGGTCTCCATTCCTCGTCCCCCCAGACACCTTTCCCAGCCCCCCTCCCCCCGCACCTTGTTCACCACATCCCCAAAGGTGAGGTTGGTCAGCGCCATGCCCGCGTATCTCCTCAGCGCCAGGTTCAGAGGATCGCTGGCCATTTTGTGCATCTCATAATCCACCTGCAGCAGTTCAGCCACGGCCTGGAGACCTCCTGGGGGACGATCCGGGTGGGGGGGGTTACAGAGATGGACGGGCCCAGCCAGGCACTGCGGGGGGACAACACCCCCCACTCCTCTTTGTGCCAGGGATTCTGCTGGTTTGTCAGTGAGGGGGCGGAGCTGGGGTCAGGGTGTCCCATTGAAAAGGAGCCAGGGTGCTGTATTCCCAGCCCCCTCCCACGGGTTCCCCTCAGGCACCCACCCCACTGCCAGGCCGTGCAATGCAGGAGGGGGCTTGCTCTACCCATGACAAGGGGCACAGCAGCCCCCTGGGACTCTAACTCGTTGAGTCGTGTCCTCTGCACTCCCCGCCCACCCAGGGATGGGGGAGCAGAGCCCAGATCCCTCTTGGGGCCGCGTATGGCTTACCCAGCTCGTTCATGGCCCGCCTGTACTCCTCGTCGAAGGAGAGCTTCATGACGGCACCGGTGG